AAGGAGAATAATACATCATAAAAGCGTAAATAATATATGTTGTACGTGGTAAGGACTGTGAACTATTTCAAACTCATTGAACAAATATGAATCTTAACATAAATCTTAGCATATAACTTTAAACGTTATGAATATTTTGCATTCATAGATATCTTAACAGATTCAAAGAAGGTAGAAAGTTTAGATAGGGCTAGGCTTCTCAATAATACATGTAATTGTTACATTAAAAATACCGTAAGAGCTATTTAAAGTTTTTGACTTGAGATAATCATCAGTCATTAAGTCATTTTAAAGAAAATTTATTTAAGTTAAGATAGAAAATTCACTTAACATAAATTTTACGATAAAAAACGACCATAGCAACGTTTAGGTTATATTATTGATGCGCAAGCACTATACATATGTATCAGTTTCCGGTTTTAAAATCTGTTGATGAAGAGCTTGATATATGTTTTGAAAACAATCATGTTATCCTTAAAACATTCAAATTGACAAGAAAATGGTTATATAAACTGATACGTTTTCTATCTAGATTGAAAATAATTTATTGGTCTTAGAGAATTGATTTTAAAAAATAATTATAATTTGATTTGTGTTATTTTCAACATAATGTTCGCATATATTGACCCGTCCATTTATTTTGTTTGTTTTTGTTCTGTTTAAATAAAAGATGCGTGCTATTTTACTTATGAGAGAAAACATGTTACACGACTTAACGAATGGGGAACACATATCGTAATGTTACGAGAGTTTTTGCACTTAATCCTGTGTTAAGATATTTTGTGAAAATGAGATTTATCGTTAGATTTTTCTTACGATAGAAATTCGTCATGAAAAGCTATGAAATACTCGCCAGCTAGTCCGAAGCCGTAACATGTATTACAGTATACAGTATATCTGCTATATCTATACAATAGGTAAAGCAATAATTTAAAAGTAGATTTTAGATAAAAGATATGGTTTCATGTTTTGAAGGTTTAAAAGCAGTGTTTTTCATTTGTATGAAGATTTCTTTCAGCTGCATAATAAAGCCTTTGAAATATAAGCTCCATTTCTTAGGTGTGAAGTCATACGTATAGTTTACAATTTATTCATGCAAGTTTCCAATATCCACAGTATAAAACTGGGGATTTTCTACATAAAATCCCCCAAAATAAAATTACGTGGCTGGGTATATCTTAATGACTCTTTAAACAAACAAAAAATTCCTTTCCCATAACATGTAATTATTTATATTTATTATATATGTAAATTCAGCATATAAACATAGGAGATATATATTAAAAATGTTGCTCAAGCGTCTATGGCATGGCAAAAAGTATAAGTTGAGAACACTTATATCATTCGGTTCTACCATTTCGATATAACTTAAACTACAAGTTTCTCGTGATTCAAATTCTTATCGAAAAAAAAACAAACAAAACATTTTCTAAATAATGTGACATACTTAAACTGTCCTTAACCGATTTATATAAAAATAATGCATTATTAGAGAGTATACTAGCTCTCCATTCTCCATTAATGTCTGTTTTAAAACAACAATAACATAATTTTGATTTACGCCTGAAGGGTTTAACCAAACATATAAAACGAGATTTTCTTAAAGACCTCGTACACTGGCAAACCAGTTTGTATACCCTATATTTAAACCAGACATACATGAATTAACAATCGAATTTATTGTTTGGAGTGGGGGTCGGGGCAGCAGCCCCCATCATCGCCAAGAAAATCTTGGAGTTGTGACAGGCTAAAAAGGGCTTAAGTTCGATCTTAACGTAACGTGCAACCAACGGTGAAAAGTTTTTGACTCAATCCATTGATAAGTTGCAGCACTTTGAAATCAGTTTTAATGGAAAAAAGTCAACGCAAAATAGTGATTTTGGGGCATTTTTAGATATCCCCCGATGTCATTGTAACAGGAAATTTATGAACTGGCTGTTACAAATGGCAGTCCAGGCTATTTTTGCCAAGTTTGATCAGTGTTGAAGCATTTTTTATAGTTTCATAGCAGTTTGAACTTGAAACAGGAGGCTTTTCAATGAAAACAGCCATTGTTCACAATATCATCATGAAGTAGAATATATTGTGTCGGCAGATTCGCAAACTTTTGAATGTGTTTTCTTAGAGTAATTATTTCTTTAATTTCAATATTAAAAACTTTCCTAAAACTTATATTTAATTATCAAACATGCCTTATCAATAGTAATCAATAGATTGTATTGTTACTGAACATATAGTGTTTAATTCTAGCAGTATTGCAGGCTATACCTATACAAATTACCGGATATTGAATTAGGAAAATAATAAAGTTAAAAAGTACAATATCTACGACTTCTCCTACTCGACCACGGCCACTGCTTCTATGTATTTTATGGTAACAACAACGAGGACCTCGATCTCGAAAACACCTACAAGATTACTCAATCATCTACGGCCACGGCAGAAGCGGTGGATCCATCGCAGCAGCGGTGGATAAAAGTTTATGACTGAATTTTGTTATTATGTTTTAATATTTACTGGAAACACCTGGTGAGACGAGATCCCACATAATATTTTGCACTCTTACAACTTATTTCATGCACATAGTGCAATTCATTGCCATTTATGCAAACACGACGACTTAAGAAGGCCGTGAGTTTCAGGCTTTGTCATACAAACATAGTAAAGGGATACTCGTTAAGATTCACAGAGCATAATTCTTAAATACGAAGAACAATCTCTGTTTTGAATGTCACTGTGATATATTATCATACTGAGAACACCAATTTATATAAATTTTATCTTTACAGCGGGAGTGTTATTCGAGAAAAAGTTAATCTATCTGTTACATTTTGCAAACACCTGTGCGTTATATAGCTTTAATTTTCTTCTTTTTTTTAAATTTTAAATTTAACATTTATTGAAGAAAAACTGTCTCAAATATGGCATATTTTTAATGAATTTAAAGCACCTATAATAAGATTTAAAAATAAGGTAATGAAATATTTTATGGATTTTTTTTTCAATTGTATAAAAAAGTAATGAAAAACATAACAAAAGGGGTAAAAAAAATCATACGTATGTATAAGTTATCTGCCCCTGGAATAACCCCAAATGAGAAAAAAATCTCATACACAAAACAAGATTCGTGACCCCTAAGTTGTTTTCGCTTTAACTGTTTCTTTTTTCATATTCTAACATCATGCCAAGTTATAAGACTATATTCTTTAATTCTGCCTATATGTGTTTATAATACTGCAGGTGTGTTACGTCGCTTTACATTGGACAATCGTGGCGTTATATAGTTTAAATACGGCTGTATATACATGTATATCATTATGAAGAAATCTCACTGGTTTTTTTTTCTGAAAAAATGCTTGCTGTATTATAAATTCCTTATATATATATCATACAGATTATATGGCCGTATATACAGTTGTTTGCAATATAACCGTTTATAAGGGCCATATAAACATGTCAAAAAACGTATTACTAATATTCTAATACTCCTCGTGATTTTGTTTCAGATTTTTACTCCCTCGATTAAAAAATTTACAAAGTCTTTTTAAGGCAACAATAAGTCATTTTTATTGATAAAGTCATTAATGAACAGATAGGTAGTAGCTTTTTTCTTATTATTTCTTTTGTTTCCTTAGGTTGTGAAATAGAAAATCGGCAGCCGTAGTAATCACCGCTTGAAAAATAGCCTTATTTGTCTTGTTAGAATCGAAATAATATCGGTCTGAGTGGTGTTGATCGGCTATTTAACACCGGTTTTGTCGTTTTGTTGCGAAAAAATTCCTACGTATTAAAACTCCATATAAACGTCACGCTTTATATATGGCCATATTACTAATAAAATAACCTGTAAAAATCTTTATTACTAATAATATTTTAATCTCGAAAACGCCATTAACATGTTTTAACCTTATGTTTGTATAACTCATATATGCCATAATGCAAAACTATATGCACGGCCGGAAGTTCCCTACTGCTTTTGATAAGTCATAATTCGGCATGTGTATATGATAACATGTGATCACGCGCTATATATAAATGTCTGACACGTGCTTTTTTGTCTTGTTAAAACATTTTATTTATCACATTTATGGAATTCATGTGCACTGGTAAATTCCTTTCGGTGGTGAATCAAGGTCAGGTGTAATAACTCCTAGTTTCAGCCGGGCCTTGGTTCTTCTTCATTACTGGTTCCCAAGTGCATGATCCTTGAAGGAAATAAATGTACAATGTATTAATATAATGATATGTTCTTACCTTACTGTGCAATTCAACTGGAATGTTGAACAAACTCAAAATCGACATCTATTCAAACAACAAAATACTTCAGTAATAAAACAAAATAGTTTGTTGAATGTGAACTATTTTATGATAAAACCTGCCAAATGGAAGGCAAATGGAAGCGGTACTCAGATATTTGTATATATAACTATATTGTTTTAAACACCAAATATACACTTTTTTCTGGGGTCAAAGTGAGTAAAAAGGTTGTTCTCGATTGAAAAGTACATTATATGTCAAACTTTACCCTAAATATTAAATAAATGCTATCCGCCCACCACACTGCGATGCAATTGAATCCACCGCCGTCTGCGTTGTATTTATTTTTGGTCATTTATTCTATACATGTGCAATAACAATTTTCAAAAGTTCCAAAATAAGGTTGTTTTGTGCAAGTATTATTAATACGATGTAATGCCGGTGTATATAGGTGTCGTTTTGCATACATTTGTACTGTTTAAACCAAAATAAAGCTAAAGTGGCGTCCACTCGTCAAACTGTACAGAAGGGTTTGCGTAAATGGCAATAAATTGCACCGTGTGCGTGAAATAAGTTGTAAGAGTAAATATGTTGGATCCAGTCTCACTAGGTGTTTCTCGCAAAAAATTAAAACATGAAGTAAAATTCAGTCATAAACTTAACGACAACATCAATCCACTGCTTCAATTCTGCAACGAATACTCCACCGCCGCTGCGATGGACCCACCGCCTGTGCGAAAGCTATGGCCAGTGTGCTGTCACAACTACGAATTCTACGACTTTTACGACTACGAGTCGTTTTCAACGGCGAAGACGACATGTACCACATGTAATGAACGATTATTCTTTTACGATTTCAAATACAGTTACAACTTTCAGTTCCGCTACTAGTAATATGAATTTTAGGCAACGAGGGCAGTTACAACTACAACTTTTGCGACTACAACTTTTATGACCATGACTTCGACGATAACGACCATGACTAAGACTTACCTCCACACTGCGATGCAATTGAATCCACCGCCGTCTGCGTTGTAATTATTTTTTGTCATTTATTCTATACATATGCAATAATAATTTCCAAAAATTCCTAAATATGATTGTTTTGTGCAAGTATTATTGATACGATGTGATTTATTTTGTCATTTATTCTATACATATGGAATAATAATTTCCAAAAATTCCAAAATATGGTTGTTTTATGCAAGTATTATTAATACGATGTGATGCCGGTGTATTTTGTTCGTTGAACGCCATGATTACCATGCATTTATTGCAGTGTTCGTTAGTGTGTGTATGTCTATCTTGGTTTTTGTTGATAGTAACCAACGTGGAATAGGTGTATAGTAACCAACGTGAAGTTGGTGTAACAGAAAACAACAATCTGGACTATAAGAAAGCTCGTTTATTCCTAGGTACATCTACATAAATACTTAACTAAATATAAGCGACTACATATAACCAAACGTCGTTTGTATGTTTACCGACATATACTTTGATCAATTACAGCGTAAACAATGAACTATTCTCGCTGCTTTAAGAGAGAAGAAAAACACTATATTCCCTAAGAAATAACATTTATTACAAAAATTTAACAAATTGAAAACAAAAATTTAAAGGCGGTCGTGAAACGCGATCATTGAACACAGCTAAAATGTGAGAAATATGATAAAAGATTTTTGGAATTTGGAATTTGAGTATTTGATCCCTTTTCTTTCTTTCTGTACATGAACACAAATTTCAAATAGTAGTTTCTTTTTCATCAAACATCCACCCAAAAAGTCAAATTTTGATGTAAACCATGAATGAGGAACCTGATTAGCATTCATTGCAAAAATAAAGCAAAACAAGAATCAATGCAAAAATAAGACTGCAAAACAAAGCAATGAATAAAATAAATTTTAACGTAAAACCACACATGTTATAGGCTATAGGAATCTTACACCGGCTGCCGGTACAGACCGGAATATCTAGCTCGAGGGTGACTGTTTACGGCGGTAACGAGACTCTGTCGAAGTTCCGTTAGACCGTTACCCGACAGCTAGATATTCCCGTCTGCGCCGACAACCGGTATTTGATTCTTTTTCTTGCATATTACATATCACTTATTTTCAGAACAGAAACTACGAAAACTGATATTCTCATTACGCACATTTTTTTCATAGTAGCGTATGAAGTTACAATTTTAAGTGAGGTCATCCTAAGACCGCAATTACTTCACAAGAGCACCGCTAGGCGGAGCCTTATATGCCCGAAAGTGTTTTTTAGTAAGAATGAAGCATTTGTAAGACATGGGAATTAAATAAAGTATTACCTCCTTCAAAAATCGTCATCTTTATAGCTGAAGAACCTTCATATATAAACAGTTCCTGTTTCAAAAGCACCAACATCAAAGTGTTATCTTGTAAGTATAAATGCTACGACGGATGGACACAAAAAAGCATTGACCTTGTGATCCAAAAGTTAATAGGAGTCTTCTACTCAATTGACAATCATCCTATTAAAATTGAACACTGTGGGCCAAATGGAACTTAAGTTATGCTCCAGAAATCACAACTTTCAGTGTAAAGATCATTGTGAACCTGACCTTTTACCTCATAACCCTAAAATCAATTGGGGTCTTCGACCCAATATGGACAATCATCCTATGAAATTTGAATATTGTGGGCCAAATGGAACTTAAGTTCTGTTCCGGAAACTATTTTCATTTTTAAGGTAATAGTGACCATGACCTTGTGACCCCAAAATCAATAGGGGTCTTCCACCCAACATGGACAATCATTCTATGAAGTTTGGATATTATGGCCAAATGGAACTTAAGTTATGCTCCGGAAACTGTTTTCAGTTTTAAGGATATAGTGACATTGACCTTTGACCTTGTGACTCCAAAACAAAAAGGGGTCTTATACCCAACATGGACAATCATCCTATGAAGTTTGAATATTGTTGGCAAAATGAAACTTAAGTTATGCTCAGAAAACAGTTTTTCAGTTTTAAGGTAATAGTAACCTTGACCTTTGACCTTGTGACCCTAAAATCAATAGGGGTCTTTTTTCCTAATATGGACAATCATCCTATGATGTCTGAAAATTGTGGGCCAAATGGAACTTAAGTTATGCTCCGGAAACTGTGTTCAGTTTTAAGGTAATAGTGACTTTTACCTTTGACCCCGAAATCAATAGGGGTATTCTACCCAGTATGGACAATCATCCTATGAAGTTTGAATATTGTGGGCCAACTGGAACTTAAGGTATGCTCCGAAAACCAAATTGCTAACGGACGGACAGACAGACGGACGCCAGGGGGTATAACATAGTATGCCTGAAATTCTTTCGGGCATATCATTAAAGGCGTGCGGCAATAATGTCATTTAAAGCACGCGACTTGTCTTACATGGGGGTAGATAATCCAGTCTGATCTGCAAAAAAATACTTAAAGACACATTATGCCCTGGAAATCCATATTTTTTAATTCTTTAGAAATGCCAACATGTGTTTGATAATGTTTTATTAAAGGATTAAGAGCATGTTAGATATTAAACAACTGAAAAAGTAGCGCTGGACATCGATAATGTGTCATAAAGGTAGAAAATGAAAACGATGTAATATTTTGACTTCCTTACAAAATAATAATTTACTAAATATACCATTTGCAAACAGAGCAAAATAAGCAAAATATTGTTTATGTGCATGGCATATGAGTTCTGTTTTTGAAACTATGACAAGATACCAAAGATAGAAAGTTTTTGAGAAATAAATATTATTGCATTCCTAAGGCATAATGGGCCTTTAAGAAATAGTATATCCCAAACATATATCGCTAAATAAAATCCCTGTTGGGAGCTATGCCCTTGTTTCTTAAACGTTTAATTATTAAAGAGATGATGCATTACGGCACGCCTTCTTTTCAAAAACACAAAGATGACCAAAGTTAATTCTCAGATGGATAGCGATATTAACATCGCTTAAAAGAATTTTGACAAATAATGGAATACTTCAGATACTTTTCATATTAAACAAACTGGAATAAACCAGGCACACACCATTTATCATTGAATGATTTCGCGTTGAATCTGAATGTATGTAATATTTATATAACAGGATCATTCAAACATTTTCTTAAAAAGTACTCAAAACAAATGAAAGTAAATTATAAAAATCAAATTACACATACAATTTAACTTAAATTTCACACAAGTGCGCACACACGCACGCACAGAATAACCAATTATTTTACATAAAATATTAATACGAACAGCCAATGATATTTTACTGTTTGAAATCAGATAAAGCCACCGCTGATGTTTCTCATTATTGGCGGACAAAAACAATATCATTAAAAGAGTACTGAAATTAATCGCACTCATACATTTGTAACATATTGTTTGATATTAATATTATTTTATAGACACTGAGGGAATCATAAACACAAAGTGTGTTTAACGGATTAACGTTTTTAAACGACATTCAACACGCAGCTTATCAATTAAACATTCGGCACACTTGATATGTTATTAATTACACTAAGATTAAACTAAGAATCACACTCTTGGATAAGTACATTAAATCAAATTTATATTTAAAGCATTAAGCAATCCATATAGCTGCATAAGAAAAGATACAGGTTGATTAATACAAGTATAATAATACAAGAAGGCCATGATGGCCCTGAATCGCTCACCAGAAACAACTGTTTTTCAGTTATTATAGAAACATTTTTAAAAAAATAAACTTGTAGAAAGTCCAGGTCAACTTCAACTTGCCTCTCCAGTTATAAGGTTTCCCAACACTGATTTTTTTTCTTGACAGTAAAAATGATAGGAACCAAGTTTGGTGATCATCCATCCATTAATTTGTGATAAAATTTGCCTATGATTTTTTTCAAAATTGCGATTTTTCTTTTTTTTTAATTAACTAAAAAAATAATAATCTTATAATCTCATTATTTAGATATACATGTATACTGTTTGTCAGGATGACACCACCGGTCAATATTTATTTAAGATAACATAGGTATACTATTACTAGTCAACTTGACCAGAAAGTTAACATTTCAGGTTAATTATCTTTCTCTTTAATAGAAATGGGAAAAATTGTATCTTTAACTACATAGAGGAAAAAGGCAAAATGTTGTTTTGATGAAATGTATTCAGTGAACATGCAAACAACTTTACATACACTGTATGAAACAGTGCAAAATTACTTTCAACAAGTGATAACGTGTAATTGAAACTGATACTAAAATAGCACAAAAAATAAAGAGCCACCACCAGGTTGGGGCAACGCTCGACTTTTTACTTTTTCTTAAAGCAAACAAAGAAATGTTTGAACAAATTAAAAAGGTTCCTTTTTATAAATTTAATCGGTAAGTCTTGTCACATTACTTTTGTCTATATATTATGAATATCTAATACATATATATATATATATACGCATTTATATTTTTATATATCAATGCGTATGGTGGTGGTGATCCGCATGGTAACGGTGGTGATCACCATGGTGGTGGTGGTCCGCATGGTGGTGGCGGTCCGCATGTTGGCAGTGGTCCTCATGGCTGTGGAGGTCCACATGGTGGTGGTGGTCCGCATGGTGGTGGCGGTCCGCATGGTGGTCCCCATGGTGGTTTTGGTCCACATGTTGGTGGCGGTCCACATGTTGGTGGTGGTCCCCATGGTGGTGGTGGTCCGCATGGTGGTGGTCCGCATGATGTTGGTGGCTGTCCACATGGTGGTGAAGGTGCGCATGTTGGCGGTGGTCCTCATGGCGGTGGAGGTCCACATGGTGGTGGTGGTCCACATGGTGGTGGCCGTCCACATGGTGGTGGTGGCCCACAAGGTGGTGGTGGTCCACATCATGGTGGTCCACATGTTTGTGGTGGTCCGCATGTTGGCGGTGGTCCGCATGGCAGTGGTGATCCACATGGTGGTGGTGGTCTGCATGGTGGTTGTGGTCGGCATGGTGGTGGTCAGCATGAAGGTGGTGGTCCGCATGTTGGTGGTGATCCGCATGGTGGTGGTGGACAACATGTTAGTGGTCTGCATTGTGGTAGTGGTCAGCATGGTTGTAGTGGTCAGCATGGTGGCTGCAGAAGCAGATGTCTAAAGGTTTTTCTATTTTTAGCTATAGCGGCCCCTACAAGGGGCCAATCAAATTAATATGAGCAAACTTGATAAAAGACTATACAAGAATGCTACAGACCAAGTTTGGTGATCATTCATTAATTAGTTCTGTAGAAGAAGATGTTTAAAGGTATTTCTATTTTTAGCTTAAGCGGTCTCTAAAAGGGGCCAATCAAATTCATATGAGCAAACTTGATAAAAGACTACCCAAGAATGCTACAGACAAAGTTTGGTGATCATCCATCCAATAGTTCTGTAGAAGAAGATGTTTAAAGGTTTTTCTATTTTTAGCCCTAGTGACCCCTAAAAGGGGCCAATCAAAATACAAATGTAATATGAACACATTTGATAAAAGACTACCTAATAATGCTACAGACAAAGTTTGGTGATCATCCATCAATTAGTTCTGTAGAAATAGACATTTAAAGGTATTTCTATTTTTAGCTTAAGCGGCCCCTAAAAGGGGCCAATCAAATTCATATGAGCAAACTTGATAAAAGACTACCCAAGAATGCTACAGACAAAGTTTGGTGATCATCCATCAATTAGTTCTGTAGAAGAAGATGTTTAAAGGTTTTTCTATTTTTAGCCCTAGTGACCCCTAAAAGGGACCAATCAAAATACAAATGTAATATGAACACATTTGATAAAAGACTACCTAACAATGCTACAGACAAAGTTTGGTGATCATCCATCAATTAGTTCTGTAGAAAATGACATTTAAAGGTATTTCTATTTTTAGCTTAAGCGGCCCCTAAAAGGGGCCAATCAAATTCATATGAGCAAACTTGATAAAAGACTACCCAAGAATGCTACAGACAAAGTTTGGTGATCATCCATCAATTAGTTCTGTAGAAGAAGATGTTTAAAGGTTTTAATATTTTTAGCCCTAGTGACCCCTAAAAGGGGCCAATCAAATTAATATGAGCAAACTTGATAACAGAATACCTAAGAATGCTACAGACAAAGTTTGGTGATCATCCATCAATTAGTTCTGTAGAAGAAGATGTTTACAGGTTTTTCTATTTTTAGCTCTGCTGACCCCTAAAAGGGGCCAATTGGAATGATATGAGCAAATCCAAGTGTGACTGTCACAAGGATGCTACAGACCAAATTTGAAGTAAATCTGCCTTGTAGTTTCAGAGAAGAAGACGATTGTTGACGACGGACGACGGACGCCGGAGCAACCCCTTTGATACTAATAGCCTTCGGCTCTGGTGAGCTAATAAATGTCAAACTATTCATTAAAGTCAAAGTAGTATATATTACAGTACTTCTAAAATCATTGCTACATATTGCTTGTTTTTTCCTTATTTTGTAAATTGTAAATGAAGCAATTTTTCTGTATCGTAGAATATGTTATATCCGCCATGGTAACATTGTGATTGAGATTCATATGATTTTGTAAAAGGAATTTTTGGCTTCTAAAATCAGCATGTATAGGTTAAGTAAAATAAATGTATAGTTTAAAAGTTTATCATTTCTTCATTTGAATACACGAAATCACGTGATTCGATGATATAATCACAGCTCTTAGTGATTTGAATAATAGTAGTCAGCCTTGGTCGCCTGGGTAAATTCGCCTTCAATATCGTGCTTCATGTCAGTGAATGTCGGCCTATCTTTTGGTGATACCGACCATGCCCGTTTCATGATATTATACCATCTAAAATAAAATAAAATAATTAAAACTTTTTGGAAAATAATTTTGGACTACCTGGGTACTGTTTTTCTTTAATTAGGAACATATTGTTTATTCTACAAAGTACTTCTATAAATAAACAACAATGTATGGTTTTATAGTAAAGAAAAATAGATTAAAAATAACTAAGAAGTGACTTAAATACACGTGTGCATCTTCTGTTTTTTTTTAAAGAAACACTTAACAAAGACAAAGTATAATTCTAAAGACAAAAAATAACCTTGACAATACGTATAATATACTGTGAATTACATGTATATAAATGTTTTACAGGAGTTATCGTACTTTTACAACTTTCGAATATACTCACTTATCTTCACATTGCTCTGGTTTGGGTAACCTGTAGCCCTCTTTTAACTTTCCTGGGATATCCCGCCCACTGAATTTCTCGTATGGTTTTTCACCTGAAAGTTTTAATCATATCTTTTAGTATCATAATTTGTTTCATGATCAACACAAATGTGCCTGTATATCATATTCACGTAAAATCTCGATAAACTTAATCGTGAATAGTTCTTGTCGTATGAATACAAATGTTGCTACAATTTTTCAATACAAATTTAAAATCCCAAATAAAGTAGTTTAATGAATCAATCTTTTAAGAAAAGTGTACTTAAAGATGTAAAAGATGATGATGATAAAAAATACATGTATTCATTGTATTGTGTTAATGACGTTTTCAGACGGAATATTTCATATTAATAATAATAATATCTGTCATATGTTTCGGTTCGGATCGGAATATCCGTCCCGAGGTGACCCGCCCATTGGGCGGTAACGAGGCTTGCCGAGTTACAGCCCATGGGCGGGTAACCGAGGGACGGATGTTCCGATCCGAACCGCAAACATATGTCAGATATTTTTTCTTGCATATTCTACCATATTCCATTATATTTTAAATTCTTTATCTTTATTTTCAATAGAAATTTATATCATGACAACCGTAACTACTTTCTTACAACAGCGTATGAAATTGCAACTTCATTCATAACGGTAAAATGACGTCATCCTAAGCGTGCCATTGTACAGCACGCGACTCATCTGGAACCCCCCATGCCAGATGAAATTTCCGGCATGGGTAAAACTAACGGAAACGCCAGTCTGCTATGCAAGAAATAATATACCAAGAGAAAAGATTTCCCACAGTACTACAGCAAAAGACCACACGTCACTCTTTTCAGTAGCATCAGCAGTACTTTTCAAACATTCAGGTGCCATCCATTTAATAGGAATGCGTTCCTGAATAATATACGAATAAAAGATCTGTAACACTGCAGTAAGTAATTAAGGATATTGCACAGTATATTGAAAAGCGCTCTTAACTGGATCATATAAGCTTTTTCAAATTGTTGATAATGAATGAGGCACATTCCTTTATTTAAATCACGAGAGATGGAGCATTCAGATGGGACTAAGCTTTTGACATAAACTATAAATTTTATAATTTATACGGTATTAATATAATCACACCTTCTTGCCACTGTTTCCGTCAGCATCTTCCATTTGTGGCTGAGGTCCAAACCCGGCTATTTTAACCTCTAAATCCTTATCAAGAAGGATGTTGCGAGCCGCCAATCGACGATGGACAATCTGAAAATTAAAATAAAAACTTGCAAGTACATATTGGAAAAAAACACCACTTTTAATCTGTAGGTTTAAAGGATCTGAATGATGCTTAAAAGTGCTTTAGCTGAATCATAGTTAACAAAACCACTGAACTAAACATACCTTTACTTAACAAAAGTTCTAAAATGACTGAAATAATCGTAAACACAAAAATAAGAATCATACCTTCCGTTGAGCTAGGTACTCCATTCCTTTGACTATTCCAAGGCTAAACCGTAGGAGTTTTTCGTGCGTTTCCACAGTTATTTGATTTATCATTGTAGCTAGGTATTCACTCAGCTGACCGTTTGAACAAAACTCGTAAAGCAGAAATTGTCCAACTAAAAATGTAATTGATCAGTTATGAAATATACCAGCTAGCTTTGGTTCTACTTTGGTGCTCTTTTGTGCTTTAAATCGTGCAGGATTGGAATCTGATGTTTAACTCAACCAGTAAAAGCTGGAGAGTAGCCAAAATCACATCCACATTACCGATGTGATTATCATAGTTTACAGCCAACGATACATACATTATAGTTATAATCTACAAGAATCGCAACAATAATTCAATTATTATTAACTTATATTAAACATGCATTATTAAATCTATGATAACAGAAGCTACCATGTTACGACTGTTTTTTTTAAATACAGTACTTGGATAAACATTCATACTTTCAGAATCTGATACTACGGCGCCTTCAAAATTCAGTACATTTATATGATGTCCAACTTGTGTACAGCTAAAGTTTATCTTAGCTTTCATCAGTAACTCATCTTGTGGAGAACATCCTTCTACAATATAGAAATAAAACATTACATTGATGACAAATTTACTATTGATTCAATACCATTTATAAGTTTACCTCTTTTGATTCTAAACACAAATGAAATCTATGACGTGTCTCTGATTTTCTGTGATCAGGTTGCTATGAAAAGTATAAAAAGATAATTATAATTAAATAATTCTATTTAAAGGAATGTTCTTCATCATACAAAGATTTATTAAATATTTCATAAACATTACTTTTCAGAGTTTTAGCCACAACAGTTAATCCTGTTTTCTGATTTGTAGCTAAATATATATCGGCAAAATGTCCTGAAGTGATCAACGATTCAAATATAACGTCGGCTCGTTTGAACTCCCATTTCTCTATATCCGTAAAATCCATCTCTCCGTACATGTACAAGGAATCGGCATCCTGTTTCAATTGAAAATTAATTATACAAATTGATTGAAGAATATGCGCAATAACTCAGCAAAGAATTGTACCAGTAGTAACTGTTTCTGAGGAAAAGTCGGGACAAGTTTTATGACGGACGCAAAGACGGGCGTGCAAACATTTGAGGTTTATGTGCTTTTTCTTTGATCTTAATGTGGCATTTTCCCCATAAACCAATAAAATTATCACATAAACCAGTCGGATTTTATGGGATTTCCTCCTTTTTTAACTGAAATTATGGACGGAATGAAGCTCATAGACCATTTGATGTTCGCCCGGAGAGACAGACGGACGGACGGAAGGACATACAGACGGACACATTCCTTAGAGGCGACACAAAGATGAAAGCATTTCTGAGGCTTAATGGGACTTTAAGCCTCAGATAACTGAACTTAGTTATGTGGTTAAAAAAAACCA